TGCTTGCTGAACCGAATATCAGCACCCACAGAAGAAGGAAGAAGAACCCTAAACCCCAAACCCCTAAATCCTAAACCCCAAACCCCTAAACCCTAAATCCTAAGCCCTAAATCCTAAACCCAAAACCCCAGAAACCTCGTGCCTGCTGATGGCCGGCCGTCTCCCTCAGCCCCTGGCCTGGCGACAGTTTGTTTTTTTTCTGGAGCGGCTTCCGTTGGTCTGATGGGTGGGTCATAGGGACCCTTCTTATGCTATGGGCATCCGGATGCAGGCATAAGCCTCTCTCTCTCTCTCTCTCTTTCTCTCTCTCTCTCTCTCTCTCTCTCTCTCTCTCTCTCTCTGTCTCTCTCTCTCACACCGTGACGCAAAAACTTCTAGGGCTGAATGTGATGGCCCTAAACCCTAAACCCCAAACCGATGATGATGCTCCAGTTACTCCTGACCATGAACGTCTGATTGACGACCTTGGGCGAAAACAAGGTTTCAGGGCTTCAGGGTTCTATAGGGTTTTTAAAAAACTGAGGGTTCTACCAGTACGGTTTACGGGCTTCAGGGTTCTTGGGCTGCCGAGCTCTGGGATTTCAGGGTTCCTGGGTCTCACGGTTCTATGGCTGGTGGTTTTCATGTTTTGAAGTCGTTTCAGGGTTCTCGGTTTCGCATTTGCAAGTTTAGGGGTTGGGGCCCAGGTTTCGGGTCTGCATGTCCAAGGTTCGGGGGTTTGTGGCTTAGGGTAAGCTTGCAAGTGGTCAAACCACTGGAATTAGGGTAGCTGCAGTGTATAACCCCTGACTCGACAAGTCCTTATCATTGCCTCTTCAAGGGGACCCTATACCGTGTACCTGAGTGAGCTTCAACAAGAAGACCTGTCCTCCCGAACCTTACGAACTGCACCAAGTCCAGAACCTCGCAGAAAAAAAAACGCAATACATCAGCTACTCCATGAAGAGAACCCAACCCTAAACCCCAACCCTAACCTCCTCTGAACACTAGACAGAACTAGGGGTTCGTAGCTCCCCCCGTTTGAGCCTCCTCCCACAAGGATACTTTCGCTTGTACGAGCCATTGAAAGAACTCCTTCTAGGAAGCCTTGAAGGAACGCTTGAAAGAGGAACCCCTTGAAAGAACCCCCTAAGAGCACCCTTACGAGCTGAATCCTTGAATTATTGGGAACCCCCTAAGAGAAGAGCACCTTTAAAGTAACCTTCAAAAGAATCCTCTAAAGAAATCTCTGAAGAGGAAGCCTAAACCCCAAACCTAAACCCCCTTGCCCAGAGAACCCAATATCCCTTAATTAAGGAATATACCTTAAATTATATTAGGGGTCCTATTATGAATTAAGGTATATTCCTTAATTAAGGGATTTTGGAAGGCCTGGGAAGGCAATCCGAGCCTCAGGACTTCCTGGGCAAAGAGCCACTCGGCCTTTTCTGCAGCGAGATTCCCGGCCTCAAAGCTGCTTCTCTGGGCTTTCTTGTGATGGGCCAGGGTTAAGGGAGTTGTTTGGTAGTTTTTGGGTAGTTTTTTTGTAGTTTTTGGGTGTCGACTCGCGCACTCGTTCAGTGCAGGCTCGGCTTCTGAGGTCTGGTTGCTACCCGCTACTACCGTGATCTGCCAGACTATGGCTATTGCAACAACAAAACGTCGTACTGCAGAGAAATAATATGACACAAGGTTACCAGGTATAACAAATATAGGACGATGGCTCATATCCGGCATGTTCGCTACATGCCAGACTGCAAGCTCAACAAATTCGGGATCCCAATGAGAAAGAGATATACTAAAAACCGCGTAGCGGTGGGCTCCACGGCAGAGTAAGATAAAGGTTGGCTTGCAGTCGACTCACCACTAATGAGACAGCCATCATTGTGGCTGCACGGTGCTACGTTCAAGCTTCAATCATCAAACGGCTGTTTCAAAAGAAGGTCGTCTCCACGAGGTTTGGTTGTCGTGCTTGCAGCGTGCAGTACATTCAGGAATTCCACCAAGGCTAGCCAGAGTTCTTGAGTATCAACAACTACTGTCAAAGCTAAGCCACCAATGAAACCCTATGGGCCCCCTTGGCCCAAAATGAAATCAACATTGTTGTGGATAACCCCTGTGCTAGGATGCCGAGTAACCCAGGAATAAAAAGGGCTCCCTTTTTGGTATTGGGTAACTTTATAAGGAACCTGGGACTACAAAAGGGGCATAAGGACACTACTGGGCATCCTAGTGTGTTACATGTTCGAACTAACAAGGACATGACTCCTGCGGAACACTCAAGAAGCGTGGCCACATGAAGCTCTAGCCAAAAGGCTCGACAGAGACAACACAGCCTTGTATAGTATGACATATTTGCCCGAAAGCTTGAAAAATGACTCCTGAGAGCCTATCCCACGGGTCCAAGCCCCATAATCAGGTAGTTAGGTTTCGGATAGTAGTTATGTAGGTAGGCTACTATTTGGGAGAGTATATGATTACTTGGTACTTGGACCCTGAACGCCTGTGGGCAAACCGCAGAGCAAAATCCCCAGACCTTCCAAAATCCCTTAACTAAGGAATATACTCCTTAATTAAAATCCCTAATATGAGTTTGACTGAGAATTCAGGTATATATATATATATATATATATGAATATTTCATATTGGGGACCCCATTATCGTTTAAGGTATATTCCTTAGTCAAGGGATTTTGGAAGGTCTGGGCCCTGGGGCAGGTCCTGGGTTCAAGCCGGATCGCGGCTTGAAGGCTTGGGCTCCGATCTCTAGGGGATTTTAGGGTTTAGGGGTTTAAAATAGGGCTTCGACGCTCACACTCGGACAAACCAGGCGAGGCATATGGTTCGGAGTCTGACGATGTGAAACATGCTAAAGGGCCAGTCATAGGATTGATCAAAAACAGGTTTAGGTTTTAGGGGTTTCGGGTTTAGGGGCCTTAATGATTCGAAGAGGGGGTTTTGGGGGGGGTATATTTTACGATAATCATAACAGGGAACCCACCAGAGTAGTGCAGGCACTTCTTTAACACCCCTTTATTTTGATCCTTAGATCGCCGCCTTGAAGTGAAGAACGTTGGAGTTCGAGTTCAAGCTATTCACATCACCTGCCCCCGAGCTTCAGGGTTTTGATGGCGGAGCAGTTGACGCTTCGGGGCTTCTGGGAGTCCATGGGGTTTTATGGTTCTGGTGGCTTATGGATTGATGGGTGGTTTAGGGTTTGGGTTTAGAGAAGAGGGTATAAGGTTTAGGGTTTCTAGAGTTTGGGAGCTTAGCGATACCCTGACCTGGTGAGGCTTTGAAGTTTAAGGCTTCGCGGGAATCTACTGATCAGTCCGGGGGTACAGGGTTTGGGGCTATCATGCTTGGAGGCCCTGTTGACTTAGTAAGTCTACGTAGTATCCCCCAGAAACCCTATTATAATCCCCATAACCCACCTTACTAACCCTACTTACTAAGTCAAAAGGGCCTCCAAGTGGTGTCTGGGTTGAAGAGGGGTTTAGGGCACCACAAGGCTGGCAGTTGGCACTAGAATTGAATGTGTCGTGGTAAGTAAGCTAAAGGTATGGGCTATGGATATCCCAGTCCCAGTCGGCATTCGAGTTGTCAGAAGGCTACCTCTCAGCTACTTACGGAAGTCCTACTAAGTCTGACTAAGCAAGTTGTTATGCAAGTAACGCGCTGGGGGTTCCATGGTTCGTGTCAACCTCGCAACTCGCACAGAGATGAAGTACGCATTTTTGAAACACCCCGAAAGGGAAAATCAAGTGCACGGCTTTTGTTTATGCATAGTGGCTCCTAGAAGCAACAACGTGCTCTTTCAGGATCAAGGCCGTGGTTTTTGTCGAGGGCTCTTATGCCCAGACCTTCCAAACTCCCTTAATTGAGGAATATACCTTAATTCATATTAAGGGTCCTATTATAATTTAAGGTATATTCCTTAATTAAGGAATTTTGGAAGGTCTGGGTGGTTCAGGCGTTTTAAGGTTTCCGAATTGATTCGGGCTCAGAGCAGAGTGCCCTAACACCGCGAAGCGGCACCCCAGGAAGCCTGCCGACCGGCACCTAAAGGGGCCTAAACTATAACCAATACTATGCTGGGGGTTCCTCATTATAAGTACAATATACCCCAAAGCTGTAATCTGACTATTAAGGCCCTTATATATCAGACTGCGAAGGGTACGGCAGCTATACCTCCAAAATGTAAGGGGGGGGGCTTGTAATACTCCCTACAAAGTCTCGCTGTACAAAATTTCGATAGCCAAGCGGTGACAAATAGGGAATACATAAAGGAATGGTATAATACTACACATTAGAACATACTAGATCATGTATGTTCATTTTATCATATCATTAAACTATTTTGCTACTATTTGTAGATTTAGACCCTACAGCACGCCAACTTCTGCTCTATTTCCTCCTCAGCTCTTCCGTCCTTGTGAGCCTTTTAAGTTTACGGCCTTTGGGGTTTGGGCTTCAGGGTTTAGGGCCTACTGTACCCTGCCGCTTCAGCTAAGGCACTAGAGAGCCTAAATAACGAGAATGCGGCTTCGGCGTATATTATTATGCTACAAGTATAAAGGAACCCTGATGCATAATTAGCACCAGCAGTTGTCTTGTATGTATACCAGTCGGCCGGCGTAGTTTCAGATTTCAAGTCCATGTAGGCGTGAGAGACTAGTTAACAGACTAACAGTGACCCTATCCCTCCAAGGACCTCATAGTTAGGGCCCTAGACCCCTTAAGGACCCCAAAATAAGGTCCCTGGAGGCATAGGGTGAAGTCTGGGATTGGATAGCGCAGAAGTTCACCTCCTGAGCCCTCTTCTGACAACGGCAAGTGCTGCTTGACTCGCAGGGCGAACTTGCGGACTAAATGCAGGAGTCAGTTAGATTGGGATATTGCATGGTATTGTGGCATGTGAGAGGTAATATTAGGGAACACCAGGGAGAAAATTAAGATCAATATCGTATATATTAAAATGTAAGCCCGACGTCTTTCGCAGGTGCATGATCTCATCGCCTGTCAGACCAAGGCCGCCGCTAAGGTTTGGTTGGCTGTTTCGAGAACAGAGATGCAGTTACCGCGAGGCAGCACCAGGCGCAGGGCGAGTGGTGAGCACGGATACTTTGAGGCCAGCTCATCGACAAATGTCCGCATCTGTGTCTTCTTGGCATCTAATGTCAGTTCTGCAAACTCCCGACCATCCATCCTTCGTGCATTGATCGCCATAGTGCCTTCAGAACCTGCAGAGTCAATCTCCAGCTGCACAACGATGGTGTCCTCATCAGTCTCCGAGTCGACATCACGTCGGCCGACATCGTCCTTTTCCATGCCGCAATCGTCGTCGTCGAGATCGTCGTTCAGCTCCATGCCGCAATCTTCCATGAACGCGAGGCACTGCTCCTTGGTTACGCCCTTGCCAACGGCCCACTCCTCCATGCACTCCATGGTGTTCTCAAGCTCGTCCCACGTAAGGCCCTCTCCGTGGTAGCCGTCGTCGTGATGTTGGGACGTGATACACCAGAAGACCATGCCTTTCTCAGTATCCACGGCCGGGCGCCCATTCAGTCGGTGGTCCTCCCGTGGCAGAACACACTGCTTCCTACACAGCTGCTTCAGACGCGTCAAGCCTTCAAGAGGGCCAGTCTTTCCAAAGATGTACTTGGCTCGAAGCATCCGGAGATTCGGGAACGAGTCGGCCAGTAGTCCGAAGGGATCCTGGCCGCCGATGGCTGCGTCCGTCTCAAACTCTACGAGACTTCTCTGGCTCGCGCTGCTTACGGCCTTCACCTTACTTGTGGTTAGTAGGGAATGGAAGAATGGTAGCAATAGTAATTATAATTATACCCCATTCCTCCATTCGAACCAAAGGTAAGTCACCAGCATCTCGAAGTTCCGGCCGTGAAAGAGGCATCTTCGGCAGCGGAAGGATTCGAGCTGCGGCTTCACCACCTGCAAGAAGTTGCAGAATGACGAGGCCGAATGGAAACCGCCTTGCATAAGGGGACCCGAACAAAGTCCCTAAATACTAGGATCCTTATGTAAGGTACCCCTAATTCTCGAATGGAAGCCGCCTTGCATAAGGGGACCCTGATATAGTTCCTAAATACTAGGATCCTTATATAAGGTACCCCTAGTTCTCGAATGCAAGCCGCCTTGCAGCGTCAACTTCTTGAGGTAAGGGGTCCGAGCGCCAGAGGCCCCCTGGAAGGCATCCGCGAGTTTCCCAAAGAGGTCCGGAGCGCGGAAGCTCCGACGAAGCTCGTGCTTGGTGCCGAACACAGGATCTCCGGATCCAGGGAAGTTGTCGACGCGCAGCACTACTAATCGATTCATCAGAGATTCCGAGACTGCCCTTAAGATCGCAGCGTGACGACGTGGAACTTCCGGCCATTTCTCCCTAATGGCATGCAGGGGATATCGCGGGCCTCTGAGCTGCAATCGCTCGCAGGCCTTTGATGCGGCAAGCAGCTCAGCCAGAGAGTCCTCCGCTTCGCTTTTGACCTTCTTCCAAGGCTTCAACCACATATCCTCAGTCGATGGATCAACCCAGTTGCATCGCAACGTCGTTCCGGCGGCCACCATCAAGCCCGACAGAGGTTTCCGAGCCGTTTCGTCTCCATCGTCGAAGTCGCCGTCATCATCGCTATTCACAGACTCATAGCTGCTCGCCTCATCCTCCTCAGCTTCGGTTTAGGCTTATAGGGGTTCCTAGAGTTTGGGGTTTGTAGGCTTCTTAAGGTCTAGATTTTAGGGTTCAGGGAAATTCAAGTTTTTAGAGTTTCGGGTTTAGGATCTTTCTTCCCTCCTACTTGGCAAGGACACAAGCTCGCATCGCAGGGTACTTGGTTGGACAGAGGTTGGCTTTGATCTTTGAAGCCATCATGACTTTACAGTATGCTCTTCCTGTTTAGGATCTTAGCTAGGGTGGTTTACTTGGAGGGTCGGGGGACTTTGTAACTGGTTATTTTAGGGGCTAATAAGTACCATAACCCCAATTAGGGTCCCTTTTAGGGTACTTATAAGTCTACTTACTACCTACTTACTTACTCCCTGAACCCTAAACCCTATACTACCCTGATAGAGCCCTTTAAAGGAGCCCTTAGAATCCCCTTTAAAGGAGCCCTTACTAAGTCCCCCGACCCTCCAAGTAGGGTGTTGCTCCTCCGGCCGCTGGCCAGAGAGGGCTGCCATGGGGTCTCCGGGGTGCAAGTGTGCGCGTACTACAGTGGTCTGAAGAACTAAAAAAGGGATACCTTTAAAGGGATCCTTTAAGAGGGTTACTATAAGGGTACTATAAGGGTTACTATAAGGGCCACTATAAGAGTTTATATGCCAGAGGCCCCAAAGTAGTTCCTTTTTGGGATTACCTTATAGCCTTATAGGATTCTAGATATGAATCCCAAAAAAGGAACTACTTTGGGGCCTTAGGGTACAATGGTCTGAAAAACTAGAATGTGGGAGTTTCCGAAAACTAGGGGTGCCTTATCTTGGGGGCCTTATGATAAGGATCCTACTATTTCAGCACTCACTCTCCCAGGATCCTACTATTTAGGGTGCTATATTAGGGCCCCTGTTTTCGGAAACTCCCGTGTGGCTTTGCGGTATCAAGGGCTCTATGGTAATAGAGGTTTTATAGGGTTTACGGTTTAACTTTGCTGGGCTTAATGACTATCGCAGGGTCTTGGCACGTACAAGGCTTCAGCTTAGGGCGTTTCGAGTTTGATACGGATGCCTGAAGCGTTGCTCCACTCTGCGCAGCCCCTGATCCTACGAGGATCTTGAGCAATGCCGTGGCGCAACAATTGTCTGAGCAGGGGCCCCTCACTACGCTTTAAACCCCTGAACCCTCAACATCCGCAAGCCCTGAAACCCTAAACACTCAATACTGAAACCCTGAACCTTAAACCAAAACCCTTCTCAGCACTGGCTTTTGTTGTATGCCGGCAAGCTGGGCTCTCAAGGTCTTCATGACATACCAGCAAACTAAAAAACCCTAAACCCCTGAACCTAAAACCCTTAACCCTAAGCCTTAAACCCTAAACCCCAATACTGAAACCCCGAACCCTAAACCTGAAATCCCCGAGTCCTAGAACCCTAAACACTCAATACTGAAACCCCGAACCTTAAACCAAAACCCTTTTCAGCACTGGCTTTTGTTGTATGCCGGCAAGCTGGGCTCTCAAGGTCTTCATGACATACCAGCAAACTAAAAAACCCTAAACCCCTGAACCTAAAACCCTTAACCCTAAGCCTTAAACCCTAAACCCCAATACTGAAACCCCGAACCCTAAACCTGAAATCCCCGAGTCCTAGAACCCTACTTGGAGGATCATGGGACTTAGTAAGTCAGGTTATAAGTGCCTTAATTGGGGTTGTAAGTACTTGAAAGTATAGTTACCTTGTTTATAGCCCCACTTACTAAGCCCCATGATCCTTTAAGTAGAACCCTAAACCCTCAACCCTACAGATCCCCTTAAGGAGCCCTATAGATCCCTTTAAGGAGCCCTTTTAAGGAACCCTTACTTACTAAGCCCCGTGATCCTTTAAGTAGAACCCTAATGCCGCAAACTCAGCACCTCCCAGCTCCCAGCTTCCGTCCTCCATGGGCCCTCTTAATAAAAAAGTGGGAAGCTCCGAAAATTGGGGGTTACCTTTAAAGGGATCCTTTTTTGGTTTACTGTAAGGGTACTATAAGGGTTTAGAGTTTCCGAAAATTAGGGGTACCTTATCTTGGTGTCCTTATAATGAGCATCCTAATATTCAGGCTGCTATATTAGGGTCCCCTATTTTCGGAAACTCCCAAGTAAGCTAGGCTTTAATTTTAAGAGTTCCTTGTCAGGGTTCTTGACGATATCTTGAATCTAGAAGGTTTCTTGACAAGGGTTCAGGGTTCAGGGGAAACTCGAAAAAGGAATAGAAGTCATACAGCAGAGTTCCGAACTATAGGAATTTGCAAAAATCTCACCTTCAACCGTGCGTATCAATTGCTGGCAATACATAAACAGCATCAGCTTCGTGACCCTTCTGCGCCCAACACTAAACCCTGAACCGTAAACCCCTAAACACAGCTGGTCTCCCGCCTCGTCGCTTAGGCGCGCTGGCGCCTGGGAGTCTTCCGTGTGCTTGGGCTTGGATTCACAGGACAGTTACCCTAAACCTTTTTTTAGCAACAGGCTTTCCAAATCGCCCGGAGTTATACGCAAGCAGCCCTAGCAGCTTCACTGCGGAGCCAGCTTTCGCATCCGTCGATCAACGGCATCTGAAACTATGTTGAACAGGATGACCTTTTCCAACTTATCATGAATCATCTGATGTGCGCGCTGGACATCATGTAGGAGAATGTCGTCGACATCGTGACTGACACAAACATCGTAAAGCAAGGTAATGCACCCGATCTAACACAAGCAGAACGCAGTGATATCACCATAGCCGCTGAAAGTCTGGACCCATGTTGTTCATGCGCACCAGTTACGATAAAAGAGCCGGACTGTATAATTATGCACAATTGAGCGCCAACCCTCCAGCCAAGCTCCAGTCGGAGCGCATCCCGCAACTTCTCTGGCATGCTGCTGTGCACAATCGGGTGATGCAGCAAGTTTGCATCCGCTACCTTCTGAGCTGAGGAAGCCCAGGTTTTGCAGGACGCTGCGGCCTCCATGCTTTATGCTTTGCATTTCGGCGGTTGTGTCGACTTGCTGGCAGTATTGGCGCAACCCCCACGTCATCTCATGTTGCCATGGTTCCGGGCACGCTGGTCTCACAGCCCACGTAGAACACAGAGCTGCCCTGGTTATATGATGGGCACCACCGACGTCCTTCTCGACGCATTCTAGCATGTTCACTGCCCTTTGCAGCTGTGCCTGAAAAACTGCAAGCTCCTGAACTTGGTCGCCGATTTTGTTCAGCTGCTCTGCCCACAGGTCCCACATCGTCTTGTGCAGTGTTGCCGTTGCCGCTTTCCAATGCTAAACCCTAAGCCCATACACCCCTAAACCCCTAAGTTCTAAACCCGTAGTTTGGGGACAAACCCACCCTTCCTCTAGGGTCAAAGTGAGTCAGAGTAGATTCCTACTACATATGGAACCCAAAAACCCAGACCTTAAACCCAACTTATACCTCGACCTCCAAACTACCCTCCAACATACAGTGAATACCCACTACTAGAGGCCAGAACGTCTCTTTTTTCAGGCCCTTTTGGGGGGTGCTCAAGTCCTGAGAACTCTCCACTCCGAGCCAGCGGCCGTTTGAGTGCAGTTGCCCCGCGCGCCGCTGCCCTGATTTAGGAGACTTTTTCGGGCTGCTTCAAGGTGCCAAAACGCTACCAGGTCGCAAAGCAGGGGGAAACACCCTCGAGATTCGGATGGTTCTGGCTTTTTTCTGCGTGTCTTTAGAGGTTTGGGGTCTACGATTTGAGGGTTCGTAGGTTTTTGGGTTCAGGGGTTGATGGGGATGAGGGGTTTTATATAGGGCCTTACCGAGTATAAGGCAAGGTGTTCGGTGTCATTGACGTTCTATAGAAACCTGACAGAAAATAGAACCCCTATAGGCCCCTATAGAATGTAAACCCAAAACCCAAAGCCCCGAAACCCCAAAACCCTAAACACCCTAAACCCCTAAACCTCTAAACCCCAAAACTCCTAAACCCCAAACCCAAAATACCCTAAACCCCTTAACCCTAAACCCACATTACCCTAAACCCCTAAACCCTCTGCAGATCCCTGAAAAGCCTGAACCCGACACGGCACCTAGGCCAAGCTGGCCAGTGACCCCAGCTTCCTGAGCACGGCTTGGTGTCTTCCTAAAGGGGCTCTTCTGTTGTAGGGGCCTTAAGAATTAGAATAGGGTTTGGGGCACATTACACTATATTTTCCGTAGGGGCCTTAAGAACTAGAACAGGGTTGTGGGGTACATTTTGCTGTGGTTTCTAATGTAAAAACCTAAATGATTAGAATAGGGTTTTGGGGCACATCATACTATAATACTATAGTTGTACTAAGTCCGCACAACAGTATTGGTAATCATTTGGTCCCCATATTAAGGTCAGGGCTTTGGGCCTTTTAGGTTCGTGGGTACCATTTTCGGCGTTGGATGGTTTTGTGCTGTTTTTTAGGGGTTGTGCAGGGTTTTGTGAGGGTACTTGGAGGCCCTTTTGACTTAGTAAGTAGGGTTAGTAAGGTGGGTTATGGGGATTATAACAGGCTTTCTAGAGTCTCTAGAGGATACTAAGTAGACTTACTAAGTCAAAAGGGCCCCCAAGTAAGGGTTGTGCAGGGCTTTGCGAAGGAAGTGATGTAGGGCTTCCGCAGGATGTGAGAACGGGCGCGACAAGCACTTTACAAGTCTTGGAAATCTCGCTTGAGGGCGTTGGAGTGCCGAGTTTTGCTCATGGCAATTGGTGAGGCTGTAGGATGCTGAAAAACATGATAACCCGCAAACGCCGGAATAGTGATGTCTGTTGGTTGGGTTTGACCCCCAGCGTCTTGAGCGAGTGTTTGCTGCATAGGGTGCAAGGGTTTGCAACCACA